TTGGCTTTACTACTAATACCATATTAATCACATCCATATTAGTGTATACAACTCTTGAGCTAATAGTATTATTGAATGCTGCTACTTTAACATACAGGAAGCCCTTATAAAGGCTGCTGAAGGGAATGAACTATGATGGCATGAACACACACATTCTGTTTTTTGGTCAGATCAGATCACAATCTGTCACACAACTAGTATGTCCCCTTATTTTATTGTCCATAGTGTTGAACCACTTCTCCCATTCAATATTACAGAAGCAACATATCTGGCCCTAGCACCAGACAAACTTATGACAATGACAGAACTCATTACAACTTGAGCATGTCAACTATAGAAACATCTGGCTGACCTTCAAGCTATTACAGAATGTATCCATACAGACTGGATCACTTTACTTTAATGATTTGAAGAAACACACAAACACTCAATCAAGGATTTTAACTTCAAACCTGGTCAACTTGTCCTCATACACAACTCCAAATCACAAATGGATCTCAGACAAAAAACCAAGCCATACTATCTTAGACCATACATAGTAGTCTGTTGTACACAAGGAGGATCCTATATTGTAGCTGAACTCAATGGATCAGTCTCCTGTCTTTGTATTACAGTATTCTGCTTGGTTCTATACTTTGCCTACACTATACTCTTGATTCTGGTCACACATCTTGTTGAAAACTTCAGTCCAGCTAATGAAATTGACAACACTGACAACCTGCCACTGTTGGACAAGCCTTCTAAGGACTCTGACTCTGACTAAAGGCCAATTGTGGCCAACCACTATAGACTTATACATTCCATACTTTCTTGAATTTGTCTTTTTCTATTAACCCCTTATAATATTCTAGACAACATTCTGATCCTGTTCTGCTCTGTCTTCTGTTTTTCTTTGATTTTACTTTTAACTAATTGTAAATTATAGTTAGACTTACACTTTAAACCTGTATGGTTTTCCCTGTAGTATGTTTTTTCCTACTAGGTTTTTTGTACACAGGTTTTTGTCCAGCAGCCCTTAGACTACTTTTGCATTTTTTCAGTTACAACAGTCTCAAAAGTTATGTATTAAGAGCTTTGTTCTGTTCTGTTCTGTTCTGTTCTGTTCTGTTCTGTTCTTGTTCTGTTCTTACACTGTTAGTTTGCCTTACTTTCAGTATACATATGGCCTTGCCTCTGTTGTTTACCTATCAATGCTGAGTCACTCTTATTACCTTACAATTATCACACTCATACTTTAGTAATATTATACATTACTATAAACATATAGAAAATACTATTCAAAACTATAGAGAGGGGATTATATTTGGCCACTTCTACAGGCAGCTTTTATGTTGACTGTCTCACCTATACTGGTTCAATTGTTCCAAATGGAATGTCTAATTCTGTCCATCCTTCCATCCATCCTTCTAATGCCTCACCTTTGTACTCATCCTAGCTCATAACTACTTTATGTCCTGTATTATTGTATCTAACATTGTATAATAGGTAGCTACCTACCTTCTGAGGACACAAAGCTTGTGTTTGAGCTCTAGATCCTCTTAGAACTTACTGTTGTCCAACAAGTGTTCTGAGAGTTCACTTAGAAGAATGTTGTCTTTAAAAGCTATTAGTATTAATCTTAAAACAACTTACCCAGATCCTCCAGACACACTCTTGACAGTCTAGCTATAGGGTACAGGTTTGTTACTATTGTCCTCCCCTACCTCAACCTTACATCCCTCACCACCTTACCAGTCTTTGTAAGAGAGTAACAGATCTTACTCTTCTTGTATACTAAGTATACAATTGTCTTACTATACTCTTAAATGTATACTACATACTGACAGACACAGTTATTACACCTCTAACTCATTAAAGGTGTCAGGCCACTATCTGGTACTGACTCTGGCACTAGAGAACTGTTCCAGAACTGTAACTCAACCTGCCTGTTTTCAACCTCCTCTACTACCCAGTCTGTCTTATAGAAGTCTGATTTGTACAACACAGAATGCCTCCTGCCCAAATATATGTAATCTGTATCTAGATCAAGTGACTAGTAGTAGTCAGTCAAATCATTAATAAGTAAAGAAGGGACTACATACTACTCAAGTCATCCTCCTCATCATTCTAACAGCCTGGTAGTACTCCTTACTACTTACAAAGGAGTGTATCCAACCTCTCATTATCTAGCATTTGATCCTACTTGTGTGCTTAGTACACAGACAACTCATGCTCCAGCTCAGAACCCTACAGAACGTCTGGTTCACCTATAGGAGCACCTGTCTCAGCATCCTAGACAGTACACCTAACTACATTAGACAGTCTCAGAACTACAACCTCTACTACCTACTTTGTTAGAGGAGTAATGCTTAGTTTGTCAACAGTCATAGTATCTTTATACCCTTAAAGTGGTTCACTAATCAGAGCATCCTTACAGCTACTGTACTCTGTATCAATTCACAACACCCATGTTTTGAGTTGAAGTATGAGCTGCTACAGTATAGTAAGTACAAAGCTAGCCTACACACTTGATACAGTAAGTACATCCTAATCCAACTGTACTGTCTTGTCAGAAGACCCAGAGACAATACAATGTCTAAGAACTTACCTGCAACCACACCAGTTCTGCCCTTGACTCTGTTACTACTAATAGCCAATCTACTGTCCTTGTACACTGTAGCAACTCCTACATCCTTTGAGTAAGGGCCTACACTTGGTTGTAGACCTGATTCACTTCTTACAACAACAACATGGTTGAAGAAGAAGGACAAACTCAAAAAGAAGTAGAAGATTGAAATATAAAGTGTGCCAGTTTGTGAATTTACACTCTTAGGTGTGACTAGGGACAGTCACATTCTAAAACACTCAGGAGATGTTACACTCACACAACACATACATTCTAATACATTCTGATTGGAAGGGCTCAGTCACATCAAAGTTGTATCATCCTCACATTAGCAATCCTTCAATCATGTCATCATTGTCTACACAATAGTCTTGGTTGCTCAATTCAGACTAGTTGGGTTCTGGACTCTAGTTCCAATTTACAAAGGCAAGACTCTGAGCCTTCAGACAGCTGGTTGATTAATACAAAGGGGACTTGGATCCAGAGTCCTAGATAGGTTGATACAAAGGAGACAGTAGTAGAGTTGTTCACAAAGGACTAGTAGCTACAAAGGACTGATAATTTCTATAAATACCCTCATGTATTTCATACTTTCTAGTAATCAAGTTACTCTCTACTACAACTCTTAGTGTGTAGTTTGACAGTCTCCTCAGTAAACGTTCTATCTTGCCTTGTCTCATCTTGTATTGTCTTGTTCTAAAGTGTGGCTTTGTTGTTCTGTACTACTCTTGTCTTGTTAATTGTCACCTTCAGAACTTGTATGTTCTGCTCAGATCTACCTATTCCTTCTCACTCTTGACCCCTCTCAGTGTCTGTACCTTGCAGACTCAACTGACCTCTTCTACCTCAACCAGTACTTGAGATCAACAATAGAGTAATAGAAATGACTTAATTTACTGACTCATAATTATTTATATAGAATAAGAAGTAATAAAGCTTAAGTGTTAAGCTAGAATGTAAATCTGTACTTTATTTACAAAGGTTTTTGATAGTAGTCAGATTTTGGAAATTTGAGCCAGTCTTTAATAACATTACTATTTAACAATCTTATTATATATAATAAGAAATACATATTAGAAACACTACTTTTCAAAAAGTATTCTTAACCTGTATTTGTTCAGTCATGTTGTTCAAGATGGTCAGACAAGTTCATATATTGTGTATTCATTTACAAGAACAGTTACTCAGATTCTTAAGCTCTTATACACTAGTTATACTTATACAACAGTTTAATAATACTTTATAGTAGATCAAATACAAACTTTGTAAATACTGACAAGTAACACAGTTTTCAAGGCAGATGTTGAGTTAGATTATTACCTTTAGAAGTAATTCAGATAACTATTAAGTTAGAGCTATACATTAGATAGAGTTAGAGCTAGTATCTTAAATAAATAAGTCAAACTAGAATTGTTTATGTTTTAATACAAAGATCTACTCTTACTCAATTTTTTATAATGTCTTTACTTCTATAACACTATAAAGTACAATCATCTCTGTTTGTAATTTCATTTTTGAGTATATAAGTATAGTTTCACTGTTAAATCTCTTTACTACAGTCTCTAATAGTAAAGCACTCTTCTGATTCTATTACAAAAGATTGTTTTATCTACCAATTTCACATTATTCCTTCCCAATCCTGCATGTTCCACAGAATCCAAACAGACATATTGTAAAGTAGTAACTAAACTGGGGATTCTATAACAAACCCATTACCACAATTTCAGCTTGAGTCAACAACTTACAACCAAACATTAGAAGGCTCAGTAGGATTCAAAATTTTACATGAAATTGAATCCTATTCATTTATTTGTTTGATAATTGGTCTAAGGAATCATTTATTAACATTTATAACACAGTATCAATATGAATATGATTGATTGTTAGTATTCATTGATAGGGGGCAAGAGGAGACAAAAGCAAGAATATATACAGTAAGAAAAAATAAACAAGCATACTACAAAGCAATTTTGAAACAATTGAGTCATGCAACAGTCTAAACAAGAAATGAAGGACAAAACTGAAATATTTACACAGTAAGAAAATAGCAGAAAAGGTCCAAATAAAGAATTACTGATTGTCTGCATTAATCCCAGAGGGGTCTAGCATGTAAAAGACGTTGCAACTAGAAGGGACTTTAGGGTCCCAGCCTAAGTTTGCATTGATTGCCTCTGCAAAGCTTTCTTCTTGCCTGTGGCAGGGCTCAACCAGATGTCTGTGAAGACTATCTTTGTGCAAGAACTGTTAGCAACCTGCTGGGCATAGAAGGATCATTTTCTTTTCCGATTTTCCTGCCTCCGCAGGTGATTTGAATCAACAATGATAGTTGCAGTGGCGCGCAAACGAGCTTCTGTCAGAGCAAACTACCCCACACATTTCTCCAGCAGTGTTTTTGTTAGTGCAAGACATTTTCTGCTTTTCGTTTGTGGAGCCCTTCGAGGGCAATGCCCCTCTCCTTGTCTCTGCCAAGAGGGAGGATATCATCTTCTTCCCCTTGTCGTGAGAACTTCCTCCATTGGAAATAAGTGTGCTAGGGTTACACTCTGGAGATATGGCTTTGGAAAACCATAGTGGGTTAGTGTCCCATATAGGCACAGAGGTTTCTGCCACGTTGTTGAGTATATCAGAGGAGGAGCCAACCTGAAATTTGTTGGTAGAAGGGGGGAAGAGAAGAGAAGGATCGACAGTAGTGGCTGGATGCATCGACCCTTCATGTCCTGCATAATTTGAAGCGCAATAACGTTCAGGCCTCGAACCGGACAATAGACACGAATTTTCGACTCCGGTAACACTGTCTGCAAAGGTGTACTGACCAAGGTTGCTTGGTTCAAAGGCAGGATTTGACGCCTCGTTGTGCCTTCTGAGATCACTATCAGACACAATCGGGTCTGGGAACTCAACCCAATTACTAATAAAGTTGCTATGCAAGCTAGTCGTGCTCGACAGGGCATTACTGTCAGGAGCACCAGTTATAGTAGTAAGGCCCGAGAACCCAAAGGATTGCTCTTGTAAGTGGGCAACCAGATTCATATTGATAAGTGTTAAGATGAGACTACACAAGAGTATGTCTCAGATGATATAAACTACATTACAAGCAATGACGAACAATGATGGAATACCTTCCATCATACATTCTACATCTGAGACATACCTACATAGTATATATAGACTAACTAATCAACGGACAATGAAGCAAGCTGCGAGAGAGCAAGCCGAGTCCACTATCCCCCCTCTTTGTGTGATCTCTCTAAGCCTCTCACATAACCTCTCTTCCCCCTTTCTCAACAGGTTATACATACGACCCAGACATTATATGATTGTCATCTTAGTGATTATGATCATTGGCCCAGTAATAACATAATCTATGCAGGCGATGTTGAAACTATGATGAGTATCACTTACTGTGATTATTAAATGCTAAAATACTCTATAATATCACAGAGATTATGTTATAATAAATAACTGATCATACTACAGACAAACATTAAAAAGATTAATAAATCAAACACTACTCTTCCACTATTAACATTACAATAGTACAAATGATTGACACTGTCAACAAGCACACATATGTTATAGCATAAATCAAATAATAACACATATAGTAATATCACAGCCAAACGATTAATGCTCAAAACGAGTGCATATATGCTAAACAGCATATTAAATTGAATAAATAAAACATTTAACATGTATTATAAACAATAATACAATTGCAGACACTATAATAACAATAATAATAACAATAATAATGATAATAATACAGATAGAACTAACGGAACGAATACAGAACAATATAATAACTAACACATATCATGGTTGAGCAATTATATGTAACATATTGGATTCAGTGGTTACATGTCGGATATTGCAATTACTTATTGGATAATAAATATAATACACATATCTAAGATATACAGACGAGTACAGATATACAAAAGTATAATGAATAACTACAAACCAAAAAACAACACTACAGAGTGTATAAACTAACTACACATGAAAGAATAATGTTATAACATGTAAATATTAACTACAGCACAAAACAAGTGCAAAAATTATAATTATTAAACAAATGATACTACTTTACACATTAATATGATTGTGTAAATGTATACTAACAACGAACGAAAGAATTATATCTCTAATATACTCGAAACAACATAACAATACAACTTAATTATACAGAATGTCTTTTCACAACAGTTGATTATATAATAAATTTCGAAGTTGTAATGGCAACATTAACTGTACAGCATATATACCTTAACAAACAATTATTAAATTTACATCATGACAACATAGCTTGTAGGAGCAAAAGTATTAAGCTAATAAGGCTATTACAACGAATAATACAAATATAATTATTACAAACACATTATTATAATAATTACGATCGAAAACAATCATAATATAATATGATTAAATAAATTAATAAAATAGTTTAAG